TCACACATCCACCTGGACTTCCTTGTCAGGACTGTGTCTCCGGTGGTGTCCAATATCGGCTAGACTTGGGGGCCACTTCTTAGCAGGACCCGAGAAATTGCTCACTGGTACTGTAATAGAATAATGTGTTCCACCCATGATCGGGTAAGCGTAGGATGACAGTGCCCCCCACGTTGACGGTAGCATGCTGTGGAAGGCACTGACGTACCCTGAATCTGCTTTTGGACCGAGGAGGTCGCTAGCACTGCAGCCTCCAATTTTCTGCTGAAGACTCGCATGTTCTGCTGAAGCCTTAAGACTCTCGGCCGCTGACAACAGACCAGCATTATGCAGTTCACTCACTCGATGGCTATTCGTTATATTTACTATTGCATCTTGGGGATCGCATCTTCCGGATAATTTATCCGTAAAAATTCGTCCGTCTGTACCTTTGTTCGAATTAGTGTTATTATTATTGCTGGGGCTGTTGCTGCTGTTATGGTTATTGCTGTTTAAGCTACCTCCAATGACGTTTTCTCGGTCGCGTTCGTTGACCAATTCCACTGTCCGGCAGAAATCGTCTTTAGTAAAAGAAGGGCACGTCCTCCGCTTTGTCTCCGGGGCGAGTAAACTCTCCATATCGAAGAGTCGTTTCTTGACGCTCGGAGTCTCCGAAGTTGTGACAGGTGAACACGATTTGGTCTCCCTGGTTACACCGCCGTTCGGGCTATTGTTGTCACCGATCACAGGTGAGAAACCTCCGGGTGAGGTAGTGTCAACGGCATCTGCACCATCTTTCGGGTCGTCCGATGGTGGTGCAGCAAGTAAAGGGGCTGATTCCGGCCATTTGGGGATCGGAGCCGCATTGGTCGGAGACGGACTGGGACTGTCTTCGTCATCAGGTACTGATAGTCCCATATGTTTACGTACCCGTCTCTGAGCACGTCGGCGCCGGAAATCTCCTTTTGTGAAGTCCTCAATATTGGCCGGATGTATAGCCCAGTAATGTCCTTTTCCGTTGGCACTACGGCCTGATTTGATAAAACAATCGTTTAGCGACAAGTTGTGACGGATACTGTTTCTCCAGCCGGGCCCACGGGTGCGAAAGTAAGGGTAGTTGTCCAATATCCACTGGTAGATGTCACTGAGAACTAATTTCCTTTCCTTTGAATTTAATATTGCCATCGCAATCAGTCCGATATAGCTATGACTTGGTTTCGGCTCTTCATGGATATATCGAGCTCTCAAATCTTGTTTGAAGACATAAGGATGGCCTAATGTGTCCATTGTGTGGGCATAAGGGCTAAGTCCAAGCGATGTCGGGTGGCTTCGAATGCCATACTGTAAGCGGGCGTTATAATCGTAAAGCTGCGCCCGGTGAAAGTCTAATGGGAGTTGGGTGAGAGCAGTACCCAGGGGCATGTAAGGGGACAAGTTGGGCACTTTCAGGCCGTACGGAATCATTGAGCTCGGATTGTTACTACACATATTTGTAAACCGCTCGGACAACGGAGAAATCCAATCCGTAATAGTGGCGAGTCAGCCGGCAGTCTGTTAGGGCACAGCTTATATAAACGTCGTTTGTGCTTCGTACGAGCTTACATCGCAGCGCGGCGCTCTCTGCTCTGTGCGATTGGTTGGAAATCACCAGCGTTTCAATAGACACATAAAAAGGGGGCGGGGCCTATCAGCTTCATCTTCATCATCGTTTACTCTTAAGCGGTGGATCGATGATGCTTTGCCTGCTTCATCAACAACAATAATAACACAGCATCCTTGCTCTCCTTCCTCACACCCTTACTCTCCACTCGCTTCTGACTCATCTTCGTTCGTTGTTTTTGTTGATGTTTTTACTTGCTACTCTTTTTATTTTTTTATTATTCAGCTCTTTCTGTCACTCTCTACTTTACCTCACTAACCCCATTCACTTTTCTTCTCTATTGTCCTTTCTTTTATTCTATCTTTCCTGTTCTGTTTTGCTCTTTCTTTCTTCGTCTTTCGGATCTTTACCGCTCACTTCTTTCATAGTCGTTTCGCCCTATCATTACGATCATCTCGTTCTCTTTTTGTTTTCCTTTTTCACGTCCATCAACTGCAGTTTTTTACCTTGCACTGCCCATTTCCCTCTTTTCCAGTTGGCTTCCCCTCTCCACCGTAAATCGCCACCCAAACTCAGGACCGGCTGCTTTTAAGCTGAGATTAGAGGCGGAAAAAAAGTAATAGAAAGGGCGGGGCTAATGTCAACACCAATTTCACAGTAAAGTCACGCCCATCCCCTACCTGCCCTCCTTTCCTCTCTCAACACCATCATCCCCCACACTTTCTTTACTCTGAATTTCTGGCTTTAAAACTATTGTCCCACTCCTTAAAATCATTTCTCTTCCTTAACTCAATCATCTATCTATCTGTTTACATTCCGAATCATCAGAAGCTCGATTTAGCCGTAATTACCTTATCATCTTCACCTCTCTGTACTGTTTGTTTCAGACATTTTTTACGTAAAGGCTAAGAAGAACATTCA